GATCGAACACTACATTAGATTGTGAATCTTGAATTAAGAATAAAAGTGATCAATAGATGAAATTGTTATGCTCTAATATTCATAGCATATCTGTCTCTCCAATTATCCATTGTTTGCAATTTTTTTTACTTTCAATTTGTTAAAAGTAGTTAGTCAATTGGAATTTGACTTCAATTCTTATTGGTCAGCTCACTAACTACCCTAGAAGACTTATCAAGTTCACCTGTAAGATTCTTAATCTTAGACTCTAGGGATTGATTCACAGTATCTAATTTATTGTGGCAAAATGTAGACTCCTGAAGGTCAGCTACAAGTTTCTTTCTAACTAACTCAAGTTCATTGACCTTCTTACGCACAACTTTATTCACCTTCTTAATCTTAAGATTCTCTTCAAATAATTGTTGATGAGCCTCATGAATCTATTCCCCACCTTCAGAATCTTTTTCAGAATGCTCACCACTATCTACTTCCTCAATCTTCTCACTGTCCATTTCAGATTCACTCTTAATCCTAGCAGTAGATGCCATAAACTTCCCACTCTCCTCATGAATGGACCTCTCACTTTGATTATTTGAGCTAGACTCGTCATCAGTAAGAGTTAGGGCACTCACTTCTATAGTGGCAACAACCTTAACACTTATGACATCTCACAGTGTTAGATTTCTTTCTAGACTCATTCGGGTCTCCTCTTTGTCTCTCTTTACTCTTCTTATTATTTCCAAACATTACTTGAAAATTCTTAACAAAGTACGCTATTTCCTCATTATTAAGTGATTTCGAGTAAGAAGAATTATGATAAACATCCCTAACAGTGTTCAAAGCTAAATACTTATCTTTTTTAGGTTTAACTAACGTTAGTTCATATGTCCGGAGAGATCCAACCAATTCTTCAACCTTAATAACATCTATATACTTACTCTCCTCTATAGCGTTTAGGCCTAAATCTATTCGTTAAAATAGACGTGATAACTGACAAAATTATGTCAGCATTTTTTAGTCAACAAAAATTGTTTGGGCAAGGCACGGTCCTTGCTGGTCAAGCCTATTTTCCATTTGTCAAAGGCATGCATGGTGCCGGCCCACCACATTGCATGTCACTGGCCGACCGCCTATGAATGAGTGGTCCAAAATATTTTGACACCTTTATTTCAAGATTCCACTAACATCATCATGACCAACAAGGTAGTATGGTGACAGAAAGTTTCTCATTGAAGCGAATCAAAGAAACACTGGTACGCTCCCCTTTGCTGTGAAACACATTTGTATGATCAGTACTTTAAAAAAATACATGAAAATCCATGCATCCATACATTCAATGCACCTAACTGCCCCCATTACACTTGGCTTCAAAAACAGCAAAATCTACAACATATTTTTGAATGGCAGTGTCTCATTTGTTTCCCAGATTACAATCCATTTACATGGATAAGTTATAGTCAAAATCCACAACATAAGATTGATCGAGTAGTCTCACTAGGGAATTGGATATACGAAGCTCTCTCAAGCGCAATAAAGAGTACAATAACAAATTAAGTGTTTATTGATGATAAATTTAAGGACGGCTATGTTATTTCTTTTTATTGTCCATTCAATTCTTTAATACATCTATTTCAATATTTAAAACAAATTAAATATTTAAAAAGTATAGCATACTATACTAATTTTATATATTTCTAAACTCGTTGACAAAAGGACACAAAATGACGTCATTTATTTTATATGTTGATAAAAATATACAAAATGGTATTGCTTTCAATTCCATTTTGTATACTCTCTCCCCTTCCACAATGTAGTGCCGTCTGAAAATATTTTAATTTATATAAAATAAAAATTACTTATTTATATTACTGTTTATCAAAGTTGGAGATGGAAGATCGGCACATTCTTGAAGTCGAGCTACTTCATTCCAAGTTCGTTATTACAGGTAGTTCCTACAAAGGATCAAACTAATGACGTATACAATACTTAAATTCTTGATGTAGAACTGGTTGTTCGCCGTTCAAAAATTCTTGTTTGAGCAGTTCATAATCAATCATTTAACAATAATTAAAAAGATACAATTTTTAGTTAAGACAAGATTTTTCAATAGAAAAATATCAACCTAAGCATAAATTTTCTTGATTCCCAACTTTTTGGTAGGATTGCATGCGCATGTTATTGTTTTATACTTCGATAGAATATTGCAATATTGGTGCAATGAATCCAATAAAATTCCCTCGACTTTTTTTGATAAAGTGTTTGAAGTCTTAACCAAAGTGGGATTTGCATGTGTCCCACGCTGAGTCATTTCCACGCAAATTCCCTCAACTTTTTTTGAATGGAAAGTTTTCATTCCATCAAAGACAAAGTTACAAGTTGAACCAAGAAAAAGTCACCTTTCTAATTTTCCATGAAAAATGTAAATTGATTTGGCAATATATGATGGGAAGTAGATAGGACACGTCATCAGCCTCCATGTCCATTCTTGTTTGGTAAGGTAGGTGGCTAGTAGGTGATCGAAAATTATTTGTAGGGTATCCATATCTTTCTCCATTCATGTTACGAAAAGCTTTAGTACAGTAAGAGCAATTTCTAAAGGAAAAAAATAGTCATCCACAGTTAATCAGCGATCAAGTTCCGCTGCCTGCTTATCACCTCCTGCGGAAAAATTCTCTAATAGATTTGGTTGTTGTCAATTTAAGTAGTATGTGAGATGGGTTATGCACGTCGTGACCTAATATGGTAGAATTGCCAAGAAATTTGATACGTTGGTAGAATTAATCAAAGGTCATTTCAATTCCAACTAGCAAATTTCAAGATTGCTCATTTAAGGGACGGAACAGCCCATGTGAAACCAACTGGTCAGCATGTGGATCATTACATGCAAATGATCATTAGTCCTTTGGTCCTAAGGTTTCTAACTCGTCTATTCAAATTAAAGATAAAAAGTAGGGACACGATATCTATGGCGGCTAATCAGCACATAAAGTCCACAAATTGTGTCGAAAAGCTGAGGGCGGTTCTTTGTGTTTCAATTTTGTGTTTTGTGTTTTGAATTTTGAATTTATTTTGGATTTTGTGTTTTGAGTGTCCATTTTGAGATTGTTAAAAATGTGTTCTTTTTGGTATTTTAAATACACCTAAAATACGTTTTAAAAATTTTTGCTTAATTATAACTGAAAACACCCAAAACGACAAATTTGTCGTGTTGGGTTTTATTTGTAAATTTTTAACTTGTTTTCAAAAAAGAGTTTTCTCTATTTTGAAAAATCGAAAACAGAAAACGATTTAAAAATGATAAAGAGAACATGCCATAATTNACAAACAAAACTTTCTAGAATTGTAGGACCGTCATAGAATTTCAAATGATGCTTTACTTAAAAGTTACTACTACTAATAATAAAAAAAATATTATGAGTGTGTTTGGGATACATTTGAGAATGAAAAAAATAATGTGTACAAAACAGGGCCATATATATATTCATTAAAAAAAATATAGTGAAAAAGTAACTTTGCAAATCATAAATCAGTAACTTAAAAAGTAAATTTGATGCAACATACGAGCCTAAATCCCTATTAATTATAAGAAGAAGAAAAAACAAGGAAAATGCAAACATAGACTCCTAAAAATAATTTATATATCATGAAATATTAGATCGATTTGCGATTGAAAAAAAAATAAAAAATAATTAAATTCTGCATAATCGAACCGACACACATATTTCAGCTTCTATATAAGGTTACATATCCTGCTCCTTACAATTCCCCCTTCTTCCCCTCTCTGCATATCTCCTGCCATTTCCATCGAAGTATCTCCAATACTAATTGGCCTCCACTAGCTCTTTTGCTCACCTTCCAGTTAGAGTTTGTAGTTATCTTGCATTATAAGAAGGTGAAATTTTCAGGGCACGATGGGTGAACAAGTCGAACAGGTCAGTGGATCGTTGCATCAAAATGCTGTTAATTTAAATGAAATTTATAGTTATATAACTATGTAATATGTTTGCATTTGACTGCGATTATAATGCAAATATGTTTTAGCAGGAAAAAACTCAGGAGGAAGCTAAACCAGAGGAAAAGAAAGAAGAGAAAATGGAGGAGACAAAAGAAGAACCTAAGCCACCCTCCCCTTTGGTTTTGTTTGTGGACTTGCATTGTGTGGGTTGTGCAAAGAAGATAGAGAGGTCCATTCTCAAGATTAGTGGTATGAATCCCCTCGTCTAAAAGTTTTGATCAAAAGTCTACTGTTTGCCCTAATTCCATATTGAACAACGTTGTCCAAAAGCTTAAGGTTTTAGAGGACGTGATTGGCCGACTCTCTTTCTAATTCTAGTGCAAATTGTTCCTTTTTCTGTTGAATTGTAGTGTTGTTTGATCTTGACAGGAGTAGAGGGAGTTGTGCTTGACATGGTGAAAAATCAAATAACTGTGAAGGGAGTTGTGGAGGCTCAAGCTGTATGCAACAAAATCTCGAAGAAAACAAAGAGAAGCGTCAAAGTTTTATCGCCATTGCCAGTATCTGAGGGCGAAGCTATATCGGAAGTTGTTGCCTCACAGGTTGACCACACAATGGATAAAATTTTAACTTTGTACTTCAGTTTTTATTTTAATTCTAGTCCATAACGTGCTTCTCCAGGCTAGCGAATTAACTACAGTGGAGCTGAATGTGAACATGCATTGCTTGGCTTGTGCCCAGCAGCTTAAGAGAAAGTTACTCAAATTGAAAGGTAACATTTTGTTATCCCTCCTTTCGGGAGCCATAATAGTATTATATAAAATAGACACGATGGTTCAACCGTGAAAAAGGTACAAAAATCACACGCCTCTCAGATGTGAACCCGTGTTTGGTAGAGATTTTAACCAACTCAAAATTAACAATTTAATTTTAATTACACATTTTGTGGGACCCATAAGTTTTCAACAGCAACAACACATTTTATCAACTTTTATCAAAATTTACTAAAAATCTGATGTTAAACCCACCAAAGAGGGACATAAATCTACATCCAAAATTAACATGATTTACCGTAATGTTGGTGCATTCATTACAGGAGTGCAAATAGCCGAGACAGAATTTAGTTCTGGGAAAATTAAGGTTACAGGTACTATGGATGCAAACGAGCTCGTTGATTATGTCTACAAAAGCACAAAAAAGCAAGCCAAAATAGTACCACAGCCCGAAACCGAAGAACCAAAGCCCAAGGAGAATAAAAACGAAGAAAAGCCAGATGAAGAAGCCAAACAAGAGGAAAAAAAGGAAGAAAAAGGAGAGGAAAAGGGTGGGGAAAACATAGAGGAGGAGTCCACTAAAGGAGAGATGAATTTTAGTGATGAACAGGCCATGCATAAACTCATGCATTACTATCAACCTTTGTATATGATTGAAAAAACCCCCCCTCCGCAGCTTTTTTCAGATGAGAATCCTAATGCTTGTTGCATTATATAGTTATCAATAAATTCACGAAGACGAGAATTTTTATGGATTCTGAACACAAGATATGCTCTGCGTAATTGGTGGTCTTCAAAGACAAATCAAGTTTGCATTTTTTTTTTCACGAATTTCAAGCCATCAACCACTCAATAGTTCTACTACCTCAGTAGACCATGATTTTGCAAGAGTTTCCCAATTCCAGTATGTTGACGTAAAAAATGATTAGGTCAAATAAAAATAAAGACATTTAATAGTTCTTTTGAATAATTATAACCTAATTTATTGAATATTTCGTTTATTAGGTGAAATTTGATGAAATGAAATGAATTGAAAGAAAGAAGTGAAAATTGGGGAAAAATTGGACATTATCCAAAGTTTGGGGACTAGAGTATTAATGCTCAAAAGTTGTGTCGAAGCTCACGATGAAAATTCAAGAATGATATGGATCAATTGGATGCAATTAGAAGTCAAAATGAGTGAAATATGACCAAAATATTTTCACAAATCAATTTCAACCGCACAAGAATGTTTTAGATTTTCAGTTGGAGATGGAGATCCATTTTTTGCCTAGTAAACATTTGAATTGGAAAATAGTTATTTCAAGTAAATTTATATCCATTTGAGTTATCTTTCCAACTTACTTTAAATCGCCTTAATCGGATATCGAAAAAGAAAGTCATGACAAAAATATTAAAGAAGGCCGCAGTAGGTGACACCTAGGCACCCACTCTCGGGAAAAAGACTAGATTCATGGCGCCTAGGCGCTACCTACATACAAAAATAGGGTTTTCAAGTGCAATTCATCTTTTTAAAATCCCAATTCAACTAAAACTCGTCCAAAACTCAAAAAATGCATAAATACAACTCTGGTCTCACACAATTTGGGGGAGAGAAAAACACATAATCGTTAAGATCAAAGAGCAAAAGTTAGGGTTTGAAAACTTTTGAGGTTGAAGAAGATTCTTGGTGCAATATCCAATTCTTTCCATGATCAAGATTTCAAAATCTGGTTATGAACTCTATACTTTTTGTTTTTCTTTCATTATTATGAGTACCTAAATTCATAGTTAGGGCAAGCAGTGTAATCTATGGGTGACCATTTATCTCTTTTATTCAAGATTCTAGTTCTTTAAATGCATTTGTGTTGATTTTATTCATGAATTTAATACTTTGAATTGTTTGGTCAATTATTCAATGATTTTGTGAATCTATTACGAATCAAGGCGTAAGTTTTAGATTTAAACTACATAGTAAAATCCGATAATAATTATTGCGGCCATTATTAGATGAATTCTTAGAACTAATATTTCGTTTAATTAGGATTGATTCATATAGAGTTATGAAATTGAATTACTTAAATAAACTCAATGAAAATACGAGATGGGTAAAGTGAATATTTTAGAATAATTCGATCAAACACTACAATAATAATGAATTTTGATTGGCAAATTAAAGGGGATCCATAGATAAAATTGTAAGTTCTAGCATCCACGTTCATACTTTTAAAACCCAAATTCAATAAATTGTGTACGTTAGATAATTTAGTTTTAGTTAGAATAATTTAGATACCAACACAAAACTTTATTATTTATTTTCAATTAAATTAAAATTATGAATAATTTAACCAATTGCTATATAGTAGTTTTCGTGAGAACGATATCCGAACTCGTTGGTCCACCATATTACTTGTTACGATTCAATACTTACGAGATATAAAAATCGATAACAATTTGTATGAGTTAAATTGTGAAATAGTAGAAAAAAGAGAGAAAATTGTATTAAAAAGAAAGTTGGGGGAACCATTTGGTCATATTCATAGGCTCTCAAAACTGTTAATTGGCCTCCAAAAAGAAGTTATCTACAATGTTTTCCTCGAATTATGTGACATTGCCCTTGCCTTTCTTGACTCTTGATTGATCCTTTTGAGATCAGTTTATAACGATGCCGAAGTGGTGGGTAATTATTGCAAACTTTGATTGGTTGAAAGTAAGGCACAATCATCATGAGTGTCATGTGTTGTTATGAGAATGGTCATATGAGAATCAATGATATCATGGATAACTGTGTTCATCGTTATTTCATTACTCGATCATCATTTTCTAAAGGACGGCAAGTATGGCCAAGCTCATAGATTGAACTGACATAGTGATCTTCTAACCCGTCCTTTTTAAAGTGACTATTGAATATTTACAAACTCTCATTCTTAAATTAAGGTAAGTTCAAACTGGTTTTGTGAGTTTAGACACCAACGGAGTATATTGAAGTATCTCCCTAAGCAATGTAGAGTTCCCTTGCGCACAACGTATTACACTTGAACTTGGCTTGTTCGGTCTGAAACTGACACAATGACATAAAGCAGAGAGTGCGCAAATAAAAAACTCGAAAAGCTGAACAAGATGCGACTCCATGAATGGTCAGCAGTTGGCTCTTGATTGGATCTGAGTTGACCAACTCTACCAAAATATGAGATCTTAGACAATCGCATAACTTGTATAGTGGTTGAATTGGCTTTGTTTTGTAGTTAACCATGGAATAGGAAATGAAATTGAACCCAAGATAATAATTTAACTTGTGTCTTTGGTCCTTTGTGTTATGTTATTGAATACATTTTTCTGTGAAAGACGGAGCTTCGACACAATTGAGTAGCACTTTCACCTAACCTAAAATTCTGTGAGAGAAATTTGTCTCCCAACGTTTATTCCAAGTTCACCGTTGTAGATCTCCACTTGTTTGTAAGTCTATTAATAAAATTTTCTTTAATTCTATATATTAATTATTCAAATTTTGAAACAGAATCCGCTTAATTTACTCATAATGATTTACTAGAGATGTAAAACTGGCTTAACTGTTCAGGGTTGATCCTAGTACTATCCATCTTAGGACCAGCCATGTCCAGCAGGGGTGGACGCAAACCTTAAAAATTAGGAGGGCACAATCGAACATACAAAGAAATTGAGAGAAATTTTACAATAGAAAATTTACGTCCAAAAAAATCATGCTCCATGTAATTT